AAGTGAGCAAAACTAGGAGAACAATTTATACAATAACCACAGCATTTTACAAACAATTTTGAAAGTCTTAAGAACTCTGTTCAACACAATTACCAGACATTTCAAGGAGCCTGAGAAGAGGCATGCTACCTAACTGCTTACAATGAGTTAGGAATTTGAGGTACAGAATGAAAGATAATTTTTTTGAACATGGCCAAGAAGAATTTTTAAATGGGAGGGGGGAAGGAGATATGAGGGGGAAAACATCAGTTTTGTGATTAAAAAAGAAATTGAATTAAATAAAAAACAAAGAAAATTAAGAACCAGGCACAGACTAGTCTACATTCATTATATTGGTAATGCTCCACCTAACACCAGAGATTGCTCTAGGAAAATACTAAGCTATTTATGTCTCTCATCAAACTCTCTGCCTCTGTTCCCTAGCTCCACCCCTTCATAAGTGGTAGCCCTTATCTTATTTATCCATGTATTCTCTAATGAGCTATTTATGGTTCTTTCCTTCACTCACTGAGAAAAAATTCCAAATATTTTCTTTTGTGTTTCATTTTCATTCAGTCACACTGAACTAACTTAATAGAGAAGAGCACACAAACACAATTTGACATATAGAGTTTTCTGTTTTATTCATATCCAAAAAAGAAAAGAAACCAAATCAAGTACACTAAAACAACTACTAAACAGTTTGTACATCCTTAGCTTCTTCCAGACCCGTGAAGTTTCAATTGACTGTAGCCTTTTACTAGTTTATTTGTTGTTGAGGTTGCTGTTTGGTCATTCAGTTGTGTTTGACTCTTCATGACCCCATGGACCATAGCTTGCCAGGCCCAGGATCTATCCACTGCACCACCTACCTGTCCTATTTAACTAGTTCATGGGCATAGCCAAATCCAGGATTTCCAGGAGCACACTTTAAATACTTGCACTCCTACCCCACTCTCTATCTCTTGCTCACCCCCACAACTTGTACATATTCCCAACACTGTTTACTGTTCACTCCTGGCCTCCAATAAAGTCAATATCCAGATTGTAAGAGTTAGAGTCTGGGACATCTTAGTCTCTTCAAAAGCAACCATGGGTGATCTAAATTTGGAAGCTGATTCCTTCCTTTGCTGATCAGGTCTGAGAGCCAGATATCCACTTTTCCTAGGCCATCCCCCCGTCTTTTCCTGCCTCACAAACCCCAGGGCCTAGCATGGCTCTCAAAACTTCATCATAGAAATGGGGTTACAAGGCCAGAAACAGATTGTCCCCATGCAGATGCTATCTTGTCTTCACAACGCTGTCTCTCAGAGCTACTTCTCAAACTGGCACATAAGGATTGGTTTGCTTAGAGTGTAGCTGATATCTCAGATTCAAAAGTACACCCTAGGTCACATTATAGGGCACGAGCCCTCACCATGAATTCACCTTTAATAGTTAGCCAGGAGATAGAATTAATTCAAAGCAAACACATTTACTAAAATAAAACAATAGTGGCTATGACCTCCCCTCACAGACCACACTCTTCCAGAAATACACATATAATCTGTGGAAATAATGGGCAAAAACTTAGAGGGCAATACTTGTGAGGCACAGTTCTAGGGAAAAGAGGTGGTCAAGGCAATTTATGCTTCCATTACTGCAAGATTCTGAGATCTTCGAATTTCTGGCAATGTCCTCGCCCAGAATTCCTTTTAGCCTGGAATATGTGCAAGATAGGACACTGCTGCTAGGGCAGGCTTGTTCCTGAGACTCTACCTTCACCTTCAGGCTTACATGCAATCTTTGGCTTTTGCTCTGTTGTCTCATAAAAGGTAAGGCAGATGCCTGTCTCTATCTCCCTAAGGAGGTTGACTTTGAGGTCTGCCACACTTTAGGGAAGAGACAGGAAAGAAATTACCTGTCGAGCTCAGCCTTTTAGACTTAGCTTTTCCTTTGTTTCTCTCTTTCTCTCTCTCTCTCTCTGTGTCTTTTTCTTTCTTTCTTTTTCTCTCTTCCTTTCTTCCTTTCTTCCTTCCTTTTTCTTTCTTCCTTCCTTCCTTCCTTCCTTCCTTCCTTTCTTTTTTTCTTTCTTTCTTTCTTTCTTTCTTTCTTTTTCCCTGTCTTTCTTTCTTTCTTTTTCTTTCTGTCTTTCTTTCTTTCTTTTTCTTTCTGTCTTTCTTTCTTTCTTTTTCTTTCTGTCTTTCTTCCTTTCTTTCTTTCTCTCTTTCTTTTTCTCTCTTTCTTTCTTTTGATTAAGTAATATAATGCTACTCAGAAAAGGTAGGGATTGGAGCCCAGCAGAGAACCTCTAACCTAAGGGAAAATTCATGTGGATCCCACAATGGTATAAAAAGACTTCTCTAGCTAGGAGCTATGAATAATCCTTTTGCCACATGTGCTCTTTAACCATTAAAGACCACTTTTGTCTGAACTCTGTATGTACTATTGCTAGGGTGTGCCTCAGACTCTTAGGGAGAATATTTTGTATCAATTAGTGTTACCATGCCACCTTGGTAAACACTGCTAATGAAAATTCCTTATACTGGCTAACTAACTGGCATTTTCTCTGGCTGTCCTACATGCCTGGAACACTCTTTGTCCTCTGCTCCAACTACTGATTTCTCTGGCTTCCTTTAAGTCCCAACTAAAATTCCACCTTCTTCAACTCTTAATTCTAGTACCTCCACTCAGTTAATTATTTCCTACATGTCCTGTATATAGCTTGCTTTGTATATTTTATTTACATATTGTCTCACTGATTAAATTGTAAGCTCCTTGAGGGCAGGAATTCTTTCGTCTCTTTTTGTATCACTAGCACTTAACACAGTGCCTGGCATATAGAAGGTCCTTAATAAATGGTTTATGGATTATTGATTCATTGATATCAACTGGATAATCAACTACTGGTGGAGGCTCATAAGCTATGGTACTAGAGAAATCACAAACCCTCAGGATTACCCCAAGAATCATAAGCAGGAAAAGTAATCAAACGCTTTTTGGGAATACAACATGCCTGGGAGAAAAAGAGTGAGGAAAGTAATCCAGAGCACGAGCTTGACTGGAAAGATGGTGGTCTATAATTCCTACACTGACATCTCTCTCACAAATTGCTGGCACAGTTGTTCACTACCAATATGTTGCACTGCAATTTATCTAAAGGAAAATTATGACTAATTATCAATGACACTTAAAATTCACAAAGAATTTTACCTATGTTATCTCAACTGAACCTCGCAATTCTGTTAAGCAGGAAATACAGCTGTTATTATTATCCCCACGTTGCTGAGGCTCAGCAAAGTTTGTTGACTTGCCAAGGCTAATTATAAGTAAGTTCTAATGGCAGACTTTGATCTTAGGGCTTCCCAACTCCTAGCTAAATCCCCTTTTGGAGATGCCACTCTAGCAATGGAAATAAAGGTCATCATTTGTAAGATTACTGCTACCACTTCTCTCAATAGCAAATAAGGACTTAGTTATTTACAACCATCAGTTTCATGGTAGTACTTTATGGTGCCTCCACAAAGTGTCATTAAACAAAATAAATGCTAAATTATTCTATAAAATCCGCTAATAATATTGTCTGATGATAGCTTCAATCTTATGGGTACACCAAATACATATGTGTCCTACCTTTATTATATATATATATGTATCTTCCAGAAAGATAAGCATACAAACTAGACTAAATTATGGAAAGATTCTTTGCTTCACAAAAGAATTCTCCCTAGGGATCCTCCCTAGATATCCTAGATATCTATCTCTCTATCTATGACATATATGTATATACATATATATATATAAAACATGTATGTTATCAGTGATCAGAAATCCATATACATGGGAGCTAAATGATTTTCAGTTGAATAAATGAGGATGTTGGTATATATAGAAGATAAATTTATATTTATATAGATTTTATACAAATATGTGTATATATAATTTTATATATAATTTATTTATACATGCATAATTTTTTTTTTATTTTGACTAGAAGTTTCAGTGTTCCATACCTCTTCAGGTTCACTCATCTGGCTCATAGACCCCATATTACAGATCTAGTCTTTAAAGCACAGATAGCTTTTTAAAATACTTTTTTAATCGTTCATTAACTACTTGACCCTCAACTCTAGTAATCCTCCAGTGCTACATGCTGTCCTGTCAATGACAAAGGTATCTTGAAGGCTCTGATAGTATTCTGACAGTACCTACCTGGCTAGAAAGATTTCAAGAATAGGTCTGTTGATAGACTTTACATTTGTCATCTAATAACTATCCTAGCTAAATCTCTAGAGGTTCATCTCCAGATTGGCTACAATTCTCCATTAATAAGTTGTGGAGAGAACTTTAATCTGTCTCATTGGAGCAGTGAAGTAACTACTAGACAGCGACTGAATAGATATCAGAAAAACAAAGTTTTAGTGGCTGCTACCAAATGAAGAACAGTAAGAGATAATGATAAAGCATCTGTGAAAAAAAATTGAATTCAACTTGCAAAAAAAATTTCTAATATTTTAATAATAATTTTATTGTAGAAAGGCAGCTAGGTGCAGTGAATAGAACACTGCACTTGAAGCCAGGAAGCTAAAATTCTGAGCTAAAATTCTGCCTTTAACACTTGCTAGCTATATAATCCTGGACTTAGTCTCTGTCTGCCTCAGTTTCCTCATATGAAAAGTGGACCTAATCATAACACTTCACAAAATTAGTGTGAGGATCAAATGAGATTATACATGTAAAATGTTTTGCAAACCTTAATAGTTTGTAGAAATGCTGGCTGTCTTAAAGCAAAGTAACAAAATAACATGACATAAAGAAAAGTTTAAGAATAGACTGATCAAAGGATAACTTTTATGATCATGAGAGCATAGATTTGGAGTTAGAAGAGACTTTTAGAAGTTATCTAGTCCAGCTCCTTTTTTTGTTGAGAAGAAAAGCAATTGCTCGGTCAACAAGCATTTATTAAACATGCATTATGTGCCAGGTATCATGGTAGGTGCTAGAAATACAAAGACAAGGTTTAGAGAGGTGAAATGTCTTACCTTCATTCAGACAGCTAGTATGTGGTGGAATCCCAAGGCTTGAGAAACCTAAGAAAGCAATTTCGAAATATGCAGCCTGGGACAGGGCTTGTGATAACACAGATATGTCTGTTATTGTGCATTTGGGAGGACACAGAACAGA